GTTTTGGTTTAAACCAACACTAGCTAGCTTTTTTCCAACCTGATCCATCCTATGTCACTGGCTAATACTGCCCCTCAGAGAAGGCGATAGCTAGGGGTGCGTGGCACAATGTATATCCTAACTATCTCAATCGATGTAACTTCACAACTTCGTCGACTGATTTCCCTCCGCCCTTACAACAATTTCGAATTACATCTTCAATGTTTCCCCTATACACATTTTCCAGAAGTTTATCAATAAATAGCATTTATAGATAACATTTACAGATATTTTCCATTCTACAACGCTAAGTGTACAGTTATCCTCTACAAAACGGCATACGCCTACTTTATTTTCAAAATAACGGGAATAAATTATGACAAACACTCAAGTCTTAAATATTCCCCAGTCAATTGAAAATATAGATTAAATACAGTAATAGATAGAAAGACGTAAATCTACCGGAAATAAATACGTGTATACTTGAATTCAATTCTCCTATATCTCCTATCTCTATATCCACCCAGACACACATACGCACACACAAACACACAGAGAGAGAACATGAAAATCCTGTTTAAACACCCTTTAAACCGGAAATGAAACATGATTTCGATAAAGCAATATCTTTATGCATATGCCACCAACATAAGTATTAATGGAACAATAACTCCATTTGGTCGGAGGGGATTTTATCATGAGCTGACATCATTTAGAGAACCATTGAAAAACCAGTAGTGAATACTGGACAGCTGTTTCCTTCGTCCTAGTTTAGGACTCTTCATCAGTACGTACCGAACGACGGGATTAGAACTCAGGACTTTCTGGTTACAAGGCGAGTTAGCTCGTAAGCCATTAAGCCACTGGGACTTAATCCAGTAACCAGTCCATGAATTCTAACTCCTACCAATTCATGACATAGAGCGGACACTTCGCAATCTGTTTTTCAATGAGTTACCGCCTCATCTTCAACCTGCCGTCCCAAACTAGAACGGAGGAAACAGTACTGTCCAGTACTCCCCGGTGGGTTTTTAAGTGGTCCTCTAACTGATGTCAGCTCATGGTAAAATCCTCCAACCAATCAAACAAAATCCCTACAAAAGCAATACTTCAAAATACCTCTTTTTGTTGTAGATAATGATGAAGTAGAGTGATGGTATATACTACTCGTTCATATGAGATTAGTTAGGAAGCACCCTAACACATCAAACAATCGTATTTGCTAGTCAACTGTTTTCCTAGTTTGACGCTGAATGCACAAACAAGTGATGTACCCGGTGTGACTCTGTTCAGAGAGACGACCAATTGTTTCACAGCCACGAACACATACATATAACAATATATAATTCATCCGAAGAAATTTTCGGAAGACTAAAATATATCTGACAGAATCATACAATCATTCTATCAATTAGCCGATTGAATTTTTAGAGAAAAAACCCAGAAACATTAGTCAGAGAACAATTGGAAAACCTGGGAGTACTGGACAGCTGTGTCGTCCTAGTTTGGAACTCTTCAGAAGTACGCACCCACCGGGTTTCGAACCCAGGACCTTCCGGTTACAAGGCGAGCTCGTATACCATTAAGCCACTGGGACCCGATCCAATGACCAGCCCATGAATTCTAACTTCTGCCGATTCACGACATAGCGCAACCGCTAGCCAATGTCTTCGGCGAGTATTTGTCCTCACACCCAACCGGCTGCACCCTACAGGTCACGACTTCCCACTGGAACCCAGGTAACTACCTACCTGAATAGGGCCAGTCGCCAGTGAGCATCTCATTGGTATTCAAGTGATGGTTTGTAGTTTGATTGCTTTCAGGATTTCATCATGAGCTGACATTAGTTAGAGAACCATTGGAAAACCTGAAAGTACTGGACAGCTGTTTCATCCTAGTTTGGGACTCGTCATCAGTACGCTACAAACCATCAAACCTACAACGGATCACTTGGAAACCCAGATAGCAATGAAATCATGATGTTCTTTGATGATGTCACGGCACTAAGTCCTTCAAATTGACAGAAAAAAACTGGCCACAGAAACTATGCAACGACTCTGTAATCATGAAACACACAAACACACAATGCTCAAGCTGAATGGAGTTCGCAGAATCATGTCTTATAACATATTTCCAACTCAATAACCAAATATACGAACAAATAAAAGGGACAGAGATGAGATCACCCATCATATATCAGGACTTACTGCCAGCTGACTGCCATCGAGAACGATCTTCAGCCAGCCAAATCACAAATTGACTCCAACCTTAATTGGTGTTTATCATCCAGAGGACCACAACGAGACAGACAGACAGCCAGTCTACACCTCCTTACGTGGGTAGCTGGCTTAAACTAACTGTTGTGGATTTCATTCACTAATGAGGTCATGTTTTGGTTTAACCACCACTGGCTCCTTTCCAACCTGATTAATCCCATGTCAGTGGCTAACAATGCCCGTCGGGGAAGGCGATGGCTAGGGATGGATGGCGTAACACATGTCGCGACCATATCAATCGATGTAATTTCACAACCTTATCTAATGATTTTCCCTTCTTCCCTACCACTCAACCAACGTCTAACCTCCGTACTGTTCACCTTATTATACCACTTAACATGGGACATAGAAAGCAGGCACCTATGATCAAAGACCCCTCACCTTCTCATGTCTTCCACTCTCAATGGTCATGTCTCGCATGCAGCCATAAAGGAGGACAGCGACGTGCTGAGCAGTACACACGCCATTTGGTTGACAGCCAGTCAGATGGCGTAAGTTGTCTGATAAGTACCAAACGAGGCTTCTGTATTCATGCTGAGATTTCATCAGCGATCAACCTATTGGCACTGGGGCTGTTGTAACTCCCCCAGAAAAATGAAGTGGTGGTCAACACGCCCACTAAACACTTCACTCCCTATCGTTAAGCTAAGAGTGAGTCGATTTATTCCGGTCCTGTAGCATCATCCCACATCTGACAGGAGCGAATCGCATGCCAAACATCCAAAGATTGCTGTTCCTCAAGGTTTTTCAAAAGACTCTGCTTTTTTTTCAGCGTCTTCACCTAGGACTATACCATCCACATATTCTAAGTCAACGAGATTAGACTCTGATAACAAGTCAATCCCTGAGTCACTGAAGTCAGTTAGGGTTAAGTCCATTAGTACATCTATGATGAAATTAAACAGAAGTGAGGATATTGGACATTCCTGAGAACAGACACCACTAGTTGTCACCACTTTAGCTGACAACTCTCCGTAAGCTTTCACCTGGCTGCATCAGTTCGTGTAGAGCAGCACATCTCTCCTGAAAAGAATCGAAGAGAAATATCTACTAAATGTTTTCAAAAAGAATGAATACCCATACCATTTCATCAAAAAGTAGTTAAACTTAAATCGAAATATCAACAAGAAACCATCCTCGAAAACCACCACATATAAAGAATATCTCTAAGGTAATGGCTAGAGCACTAAGAACCATTTGAAATAGATATTGCACAAATACCATCACAATCACTTTATTCAATATTGTCTAGCCCAGACCACACAAACCAGTTGTCAAAAGACACAACATGTATTCTTTCAAATCGATACATGTAAAAAATTATGGACACTAATTTGGCATGGGGAAATACAGAAATTTTAAGCAGTGGGAATACCAAATATGTGAGAGAATTTCTAGAAGCCTGTTGGTACTAAGACGAATCAGTGATGAACAGACATGAATATAGAACGAATTTACCAACTAGTAAAAAAGACATCACACGAAGAAAATTCAATAAAAACGATAACTTCTGACACCAATCACAACAACCACAGTTGTTGTCAAGAAAGATACAATTCAAATAAATTCACACTTCATATTAAAGCTTGCACTGAAAATGATATCTTGACGGGCTACGAAAGCAATGTAGTTATAAATTACCCAGCATGGAGAATGCAACTATATCAAGGGAGGAGTCAGTTGAGAACCGCCAAGACCCTGAATAACTACTTGATTGAACTGGTAATATGACATTTACAAATTGTCAACTATTGCTTTGTAGGGATTTTGTTAGGTGGATTAGGTGGAGGATTTTATCATGAGCTGATATCAGTTGGAGGACCATTGGAAAGCCTGGGAGGATGGCTGTTTCTTCCATCCTAGTTTGGGACTCTTCATCAGTACGCACTCACTGTGGTTCGAACTGTTGTCGCGCTATGTTGTGAATTGGTAGAAGTTACAATTCATGAGCCAATGGATCGGGTCTCAGTGGCTTAATGATCTACCAGCTAGCTCGTCTTGTAACCAGAAGGTCCTGAGTTCGAATCCCGGTGGGTGCGTACTGCTGTCCAATCGTCCTGTAACCAATGTCAGCTCATGATGAAATCCTCCAACCAATTTAAAAATTGCACACAATTTGTGGTGAGAATTCTGTACAGCATTCCTTAGAAAACCAAAAAAAATATTCAGTTCACAATGTATGTTATTTGCTAGACACTATATACAGCAATCAAGAGAGAAAGCGAAACGGCATAAGTAGTTGGAATGAAGGCAGAGGGCTGATATTTACAAATCATTATAGTCACGCTTAACAATTGAAATCAATCTGAGATTAGCAGAACCAAGAACAAACCTCTAAAACTGTAATAGTAACAGTATTGATCCAGCCAGCCTACGCAAAGCTAATAAAATTCATATTCCATTTATTTCAATAAGTCAACATACTAATAATAATATTATGTACGTCGGCGGTTCATTGATAGAATCCTTACCACCATCCATGTGGTCCGGGGTTCAATCCTCGGCCGACGCACTCCTAAACTCTGATTAGTTGGTAGTAAACCCGCCCAGTGAAGCGGGAAGATTGGAGTGTGAGGCTAGTAAACTCACCCCGCTGAGAAACAACACAAGCAAGCACAACTACAAACCTTATAGCTCAAACTTGTAACCTTATGTTTCACCGGGGACGCAAAAGGAAGATTTTAAAAAAAGGCGATAATAATATTCTTTCCCTTTCAAAATTAGAAGTTCAACTTTATAACTTACCAACTGATTAGAGACATCAGCATGATCTTCACGCGTCATACCAACACCGATAGCCGATTTCATAAGACGAGACAATGACGGCAATACATTAATTGGTGGATAGATCTGTATGTTGTAAAAAAGAATTTTTTAAAAATATAACTCATAAATATAACATTAAATGTATTAATCATTCAATGTGTGAGAACGAAGTATGTGAGGAAAAATTCAATAACAATGAAGGGAATGTTTTTGATAAAACTGGTGTTATTTTTGATTGGATGGAGGATTTCATCGTGAGCTGACATCAGTTAGAGAACCATTGGAAAACCAGCTGGGAGTACTGGATTGCTGCTTCGTCCCACTTTGGGATTCTTCATCAGTACGCCCGACCTCGTCTTGTCACCAGAAGGTACTGGGTTCGAACCCTAGTCGTGGGTGCGTACTGATGAAGAGTTCCAAACTAGGCTGACGAAACAACCGATATCAGCTCATGATGAAATCCTCCATCCAATGAAACTGGTGTTAGTTAAAGAAAGTCTAGGAAGAGACTATATTCGAGGTTAATAAATTGAACTTTCAAAACGGCATGAAAGACGACAGCTAAACAAGAAATGTTTTGAATAAAATCTATCAGTGAATAATAAGCCTCCAAAGCCTCAGGATGGTCAGGGGTGGGTGCCTTGCGCTGCGGGTTAGCCACCCCTCCGTACACCTCTTGAAATGCTCCCATATGACCGCGCGTCTTACATAGCCTCTCCTGAGGAAGTCCTACTCACTGCCTTCACGTGGCGGAGGTGTTTTTCACCAAAGTGAGAGGGAAAAAGCGGATGCCCGGCGCTCTTCACCGGGTTGACTATCAATTGGATGGCAGTCTAGGGGAGATGGCTAAACCCTGATTCCAAACCTCCAACGACTGGCGTATGAAGCTTACCGGAGCTCACCGGCAGACGTATGGACAAAGGGCTTATTGGATGCCCTGGATGACTGGCCCCATTCAAAAAGGCGAATGAACCGGACTCCGGTCACCGGCTGGCTTCCAATGGATAGTGGACTCCCTACTCCACTCCTACTGCCTTGTAGGTCACACTTGGTTGTGTAAAGGCTAGAGCTGTACTCTCAAACAAAAGGCCGAGCGATGCTGGGGACATCACTCGTACCTAATTCCCATGAAACTTCATGAACTCTCTACAACATCAACCAAATTCCAGTACTGGTCCAACAACGTCGCCGATCAGATAACGATCTGGTCAAATCAGTTCTAAATCCCTCGCCATTTCCATCTTGGCGATGTCACAGGGGTGGGGACAGCTGAAAACATGGCTTGGTACAGTCAAGGCTGATATGGAGTGCCTGTGACTACAAACCGTCTACGGACTCCGTCTGTGGAACAAGAATTGGATAACCCTGTCGCAAAACCTTGCATCAGATCGCCGCGCCTCGGCAGCGATGATTCGAGATTTTCATGAAACCGGCTCATCCTCCCGCAGGAGATAGCCGAAGTAAAGTAAAGTAAGTAAGTATCAGTAAATAAAGCTCACACTAATGTTCAAACTTGGACATAGAGGTTAAGAAAAGTTTGGAGTTAAAATAGGGACCTTCTTCGCACCAAACATCAACTTCAGTCAAAGATATTTAAAATGTTGAGTAAGTAATGTTTTAAGCTGTGTCGGTGGTACAGCGATAGATTGCTTGCCAACCACACCTCAGGTGGTTCGGAGTTCGATCCCCGGCCACCGACGCACTCTTTTACCTCGTCAAGCCAGTAATAAGACTGATGTAGAGGGAAGGTTGGGTATAAGCTTAGCAACCCTATTGTGTAAAAATAAATACCACTGCTACCGAAACTTCAAAGCTCTAGCTTGAAGCCCAATGTTCCACTGGGAAAGTAAAGGAATACAACTAAAACTAACCTAAATGTTTAAAGAAGTCAACCATCTTGTGCAGATTTGCACAACAAGTTAACAAGTCTTAGTTCAACGTCATTAGTTCCACGTATACGATTTCAGATTATTTCTGAGATATTTAAACGTAACGCAATCCAACCAGTAAAACATAATAAACATCAATATTATGAAAAGGTCAGTTATCACATGGTTGAGTGACTGAGTTTCAACGCGGAACTGTATACTCTGCACGGAAGTGCAGCAGACATGTACAGAAGAAAGAATGACTAGCTGGAGAAGAATGAAGACTTATTGATTCTGTGAGTCGGTGGCACAGCGATTAGGCCGCTCGCCGACCACACACATGGTCCGGGGCTCGATCCCCGGTCGACGCACACTCGATATCAATGGTCGGCCTGCTAAATTTGGGCTGCCGATATCACATACTGAAAATTCTATACTTGTGTCAAAAATACTGTGTGGAGTCAAGCTATAATAAAGTAAAATAAATAAATAGATAAAGTGAATGCATTTGTGTCATTGTGAATGGATTTCAGCCATATCACCGACAGTCTCAAGCCATTCGTTCATAGATTGTCGAAGACACCAACCGGGCAGTTTATACCACCTTCATGACTCAAAGGACTTTTTGGATTGACTCCATAATTCTGTTTGACTACTCCTAACTATCCTCCAACTTAGTCGTGTGTCAGCTAACATTGCTCGTAGAGGAGGAGGCTGATTCGTTTTACATAACACGTGTCCCAGATATCTCTAACGATTCGCCTTCACAACTTCATCGATTAGCCTAACCTCCTTAACAAACACTCTAGGCTTAATCTCACATATTACTCACCATATCATACCACTTGACAGGTGATGCATATAGGAAACATCTAGGATCAAAGACAAATAGTCTCTTCAAGTCTCCCACTTTCAAAGGCCACGTCTCACAGTCATACAGAAAGATAGAGCGAACTGCTGGGTAGTACATTAGTGCTTCGATCGATAACCGGATATCACTTTTAAAGATGTTATATGGATTAGAAATGATCCCAGAACATCAAAAGTCACTCTATCACTTTAGGTTAAATCCTATACATGCAGTGGACGTTAATTACTGTTTGTCTCAAGGGTGTTTTAATTCACAGGATATAAGAAGCAATCTAGCATTTTTTATTCCTTCACGTTCCCAGTGGAACACAGGGCCCCAAGCTAGAGGCTTGAAGTTTCTGTAGCACTGTTTATTTTTACAGGATGGGGTTGCTAGCCTCATGCCCAACCTTTCCTCTTTACCATCATTACTTCTGGCTTAGCGAGGTAAAGGAGTGCGCTGACCGGGGATCGAACCTCGGACCATGTGCATGGTCGGCGAGCGCCCTAACCGCTATGCCATCGACGCACAATCTAGTATTATATAATAAATAATAGATTTCAGTTTACCACTAACCTGTCTATTATGAATTTGACGATCCACATAGATTTGACCTTCTGTAATATAACCTGTTAAATCTGGTATAGGATGAGTAATATCATCGTTAGGCATAGTTAAAATTGGAATTTGTGTAATTGATCCTGATCGACCTTCAACACGACCAGCTCGTTCATAAATCGATGCTAAATCAGTGTACATATAACCTGGAAAACCACGACGACCTGGCACTTCTTCACGAGCTGCTGAAACCTAAAAGATACAAAAAAGTAGCCAATTTATCGGAAAAATTAGAATACATCTGATAATAAAATTATGCGATATTAAGTTAATCCACATGGTGAAACTGTTACTGTTGCCACAGTTGTAGAATACAATCATAGGTTGGTTCGTGTTAACCACTTCTTAAAAATCTTTTCTACGCATTTTCCAAAGTATTGAGACATACAAAGTGACTGGACACTGTGAACCGACTCTAAAACATGAAGCCAGGAGAAAGTCAAACAAGTAACCGAGTTTAGTTATTCTACGAAAGAGGATACTGTAGCGGTAAATCATTCCCTAAAATTATTGGCCAAAGCATTCATCACTGAATATTGGATGCTGACCCTCACTGTTTAAGTCAACTTGTTTAGCTGAAGGCTTCCGGTTAAGCATCCACGCCATTTAATTCCATGTTAGTTTGCTTATTAAATGTATCACACAGTGAAACAGTATTGTATACTGGATGACGTTTCGAACACAATTTATCGTTCATAATCATATCAATTTTTGTCACGCGACTTCGAGATTTGATTTAAGATAAGAAATCTAGAGAGTAGTTCAGCTATAGCACTACATGCAGTTACACACAACCATACAATAGGATGGGATAGGATGACAGTTTTAAAATCTAATGTCACAGGGTATAGGGAGACATTGATAACAGAAGCTTTTTTTATCGAATCAACTGCAAATACATGTAATAGGAATGATTCAACACCTGTCCCAGATATATGGAAAATTCTACTGCCCATACAACAAATAGGAGAAGACAGAAAAAACAATAAAAATCAAATCTCGAAGTCGTGTGACAAAAATTGATATGATTATGAACAATAAATTGTGTTCGAAACGTCATCCAGTATACAATACTGTTTCGCTGTGTGATACATTTAATAAACAAACTAATATGGAATTACTTACTACCACAGTGCCCAAGTTTTACACATATATTCACGCCATTTAGTAGTCCGTTGTGTCACGTTTGTTCGTTCGTTCATCATCTCGTGCTCCGATTTGGTCCCGAAATATATCTCGTAATTTGGACGATCAATTATTGTATTTTGTTTTGTCTTCGGTCTACGCGGAACGAATACTATAGAAGTTGTGGGTATTAGATCTTGCGTTGGTATACTTCGTACTATCCGTGAACATCAATACCGTCAGCCTCTAAAATACCGAACAAACCATGAATACAAAACCACAATGACGGCTAATGTAAAGGATCATCTGTGAGGAATGGTCAGTGATTGCACACGACATCACGTAATGATCAAAGAACATTCGAAACACACTAATACATCACTTTTAGTAAAGCTCTTTTGTTAGGCCTTTTTCTAGCATGACTACATTTTTTGAAGACTGTTGACTGACTACCAACTTTCAACATAGAACTAAAACATTATTAGGGTGGGGCGCAAGCATAGGGTATACATCCCTCTTCGAACCATGCACACAGCGATTAGATCGCATACTGTCCCATCGCTCTTGGCTGACCTGGTGAAAAAAATTCACAAGAACATCGCCAGAGCATGCGACAGGCTAAGAACCCCTACTATGTCAACTGCTTAACAATTACGAAAAGGCGACGGTATGCACAGACTCAGTTGCTCGTTATTCCAACCACACTGATGCGTATTTTCGGGTGAACATAAATACGGCACCGGAAATTTTATGATTTTCACCTTCATTTAATGCTGACTTTATCGAAACTGACCGACTGAGCTTTAATAAAAAAAACAGTACAGAAATGAGCCAGTTCCAGTTAACAAATACTCACCACACAAAGGTCGACAAAGAAGGAAAAAAGATATTTTTGTTTTTACAAGTTGATCACAGATTGATATCAGTTGGAGAACCATTGAAAACCAGCCAGGGAGTACCAGACAGCCAGCTGTTTCATCCTAGCTTGGGAATCATCGGCAGTACACACCCACCACCAGGTTTCAAACCAAGGAAATACTGGTTACAAGGCAAGCTCGTACACCATTCAGCCACTGGGACCTGATTTAATGGCTCATAAATTATTATTATTATATCCTTTAGTTCCTATAGGAACATAGGGCTTCAGCTGCGCACCTCCATTGCCTTCTGTTTTCTGTCAACTTTTTCACCCCGCTCCAAGTCTGTCCAAATGCCTTCATCTCCTCCTCACATGAGCTCCTCCAAGTCAACCTTGGACGACCAATTCGCCGCTTCCCTTTCGGGTTCCATAAATTCTAACTTCTACCAATTCGTGATTCAGAGCGACTCTAACCAATGTCGTCGGTAGACGAGCTTGCCTTGTAACCGGAAGGTCTTGGGTTCGAATCGTAGTGGTGGGTGCGTACTGCCGACGATTCCCAAACTAGAGTGAAACAGCTGGCTGTCCAGTACTCCCTGGTTTTCAATGGTTCTCCCACTGATATCAATCCGTGATTAACTGGTAAAAACAAAACTACTTACAAACCAACTATAGAAAAAAAAAAGATACCCGAAAACAACTATAATGAACGAAAATGTATATGGGAAAGAATATAAACACGGAAAAACCCGACGAATTACTGGAACTAAGAGAATACAAATACTGAATGCATCTGTGCTATTGGTTCTAAGCGCCACACTGATGAACCCTGGATATCCATGTGGCTAGACGGATAGTTCTGCTCATCCTAACTTTTGATAAAATCGTAATTTGGATTGTTTAACGTCCTACGACGACGCTCATAAACTTTTAACGTTTTGTGTCATTAATACAATGCTCTCTACTTTCACTGAAATGAAGTAATGACAGTTAATTCAAAAATCGAACAGAAGCTCATCTATTAGACAAAATGAGAGCTAAGACAGTACTCTTTGCATTCCAATGAATTTCAAGCAATGCAAAAAAGAAAATTATTTTAAAATACACTCTGATGCATAAATTTCCAGGACCACAGAGTAGAGACTTTATGAGAAAGGCCGGAGAAACAGCCTGCTGACAATATGAAACTGAAGTTACTTATATAGTCAGCTCGGAGACAATCTAATGGAGCTAGACAGGCTAGTCATTAATGAGTGGAATTAACGTAAAATCACACAACTCAACGTTTACACACAATACCTACACCTTACCTCACGTAATGCTTCTGCATATGAACTCATATCAGTTAGAATAACCAGTACATGTTTTTCACATTGATAAGCTAAATATTCTGCTGTTGTCAAAGCAATTCGCGGTGTTATAATACGCTCAATAGTAGGATCATTTGCAAGATTTAAAAACAGGCAGACATTTTCCATTGAACCATTTTCTTTAAAATCTTGCATGAAAAATCGAGCAGTTTCCATATTAACACCCATAGCAGCAAATACAATAGCAAAATTATCTACATCACTATCCATAACACTTTTTCCCGGTAATTTGACTAAACCAGCTTGACGACAAATTTGCGCGGCGATTTCATCGTGAGGTAGACCAGAAGCAGAAAAGATGGGGATCTTTTGACCACGTGCAATTGAATTCATAACGTCAATACTTGATATGCCAGTCTGGATCATTTCCTCGGATAAATACGCGACCATGGGTTAATTGGTTGACCTTGAATATCTAAGTAGTCTTCTGCAAGAATTGCTGGACCTTTATCCTTTGGTTTTCCAGAACCATTGAATACTCGACCTTAAAAATGTTTTAGAAGTTTATAAGGATAAGTAATAAACATACCCAGCATATCTTCAGACACGGGAGTTCGAAGAATATCTCCGGTGAATTCACAAGTAGTATTCTTTGCATCGATACCACTGGTTCCTTCGAATACTTGAACGATAGCTCTTTTACCACTAACTTCTAAAACTTGTCCAGTTCGTTGACTACCATCAGCAAGAGTTAGCCTAACAATCTCATCGAATTTAGGAAACTTCACATTATCTAATATGACTAGAGGACCATTTACACCAGAAACAGTCTTATAAGCTGTAAAAGAAAGTTTAAAAGGAATGAAAGACACCTTCTCAGCAGAAATCAAAACTATTAGTAAATACGTTGAAGAAATTGATCAGATAAATAACTGAGAAATATTTGTAACTCATTATTGGAAATAGACTTTTATGTCACGCTGGACCTGAAACATCTTAAAACACGCTTATGGAGCCAATTTTCTATGTATCATGTACAAAAACAATGAAACAATCACCCACAACTCTCCCAATGTACCACTTAGTGCACTAAAAAAATCGACTAATTTTACTAATATTTCTCAGATGACAAGTCAATCCTATATCTATACTACGGTGGTTCAATATTCGAAACAGTTGCTTTGGTCACTTCTGTTGCTGCACGTACTGAACCTGACCAACTAGCTAGCGTAAGGTTATGCTACACTGGTTTAGGTATATGATTTTCAATTATAAGGAAAGACGTTCACATCCTACTTCACCTGTCACATATTCCCACTAATCCTAATAAAAAAGATGTTAGCTGACATAGGTTCAGGCTGGAAAAGAGCTAGTGGCGGTCAAACCAAAACATGGTTTCATCAGTCAATGAAATCCAGGACAGTTAGTTTAAGCCAGCCGTGTAGGAAGGTGTAGACTTCCTGGTTGTAATCCTCGGGACGGTAGAAACCAATGAATGGTGGAAACAAATGGTGATATGGCTCAAAATCGTTCTCAATGGCTAACGCAGATGCATCCACTCCCTGTGACTTATGACTTCCAATGAAACTATATTGTTCTTCGTTATTACTCCTCCTTTGTCTCACATCTCTGTTTACAGTCTCTATTATGCATTCCTTCTACTTTCTTCTGTTGCTTTGTGTGCAACATGGAGTGTGGCGACTCGAAATGTCGCACATCGGTACAAAGTTCTATGTCGAAAACAGACAGACAGAGAACATGAAAGATGTGGTCCATTATCCAGTAAGACAATATGAACATGGCCGGTGGGTGAAAAATGAATTAATTCTCATACTGAAGATCCTAAAATCTTCATAATACATTGTAACGCTGAAACACGTGAAGCCTGAAATCACTGGGTAAAAATTTCGATATTTAAGACTGAAAAATGACTGTATACCTTACCTTACCAAACATCAATAATTCACGCGAAAAGGCCACGGTATGTTGATTTTTCGAAGAATAGACAATATTTAATCTCTTAAAGCTCATGATACTACCACAGTAGGTGCAACATGATTTAGTCTATGTACTCAATTTTTCAGGTTATATATCTAAAAGAATCCCAGCTCGGTTCCTGTGGTGTTTTAAAAATAGTACAGAATGAACGCAAACGTTCTGTCTTTTTCGTTGCAGCCAGAATACAAATAAGATGTAATAATTATATATCTCCCTAACGGTGATGTAGACATAACTTTTACTAGCTTACTTTCACACATCATTCAAATGCACTGAAGGCAAACAAAAATCGCGACAGAAGCAATAGAAAATGAAATGAAGGGAGGAGGCAGTCTGTCTTTGTTTGTTCTCTTTTGTTTGGTGTGTCTCAGTAGCATACTTATCACTCCTGCCCTATGACACGGTAGCAGGAAGCGCGGTCTTTGTTAATCCGGGCCACGGCCGATCCGGCATGAAATTTTAAAATGGGGAGGCAGTCTAATAAACGAATGGAAGAGTTAAAATCTACACGAAAAATGCGTGAATAAGTTTAGGCTATGCTGCGTCATGTCGGGAGATACTGACTCCTAAAGAATTCCAGCCAAATAACCTATAGTTTCTAAAATGGTTTTAGTTAATAGAAGAGTCATGGATTGATATCACCCGAAAGTCATGCTAAGTTTAGCTTGCACTTGATTTTATTTTACCTCGACTAATTTTTCTTGCTTATGAAACATGCTACTAACCGCGATAAAATTCAGTGAATTAAGCAGAGGATATAGAACTACCAACGCCAATGAGGTAATCAAAAATAATCATCCGGACTACCAGTGACGCTGCTCGTACAGAATAATAATACGCGGAGGATGTGCAAAAGAGAAAATACCTATATGGCTTCCGAATTCCATGACATTGTGTGAGCAAACATGTACAAGCCTAATACATCCCTAACTTGCGGATGAATAGCTGTAGGAATTCCAGTCAGGAAAATGCAAACATATTGTACACAACTTAAATAGCAATAGCTTTCAGGGAGAAAACGTCCAGAGTTGGGACATGATACCCTGAAGCTAGGAAACTTTTCGCAGCGGAACCGACTTTCGCTCCGAAGTCCCTGAAGTATGCCAACACTTTTCCCCCAACCTTCCACAGTGCGCCCTGAATGTTCCCAAAGTTCCTATTGTGCCCCCGAGGGAAATGCTAAGTGGGTCGAGCTCCGAATTATAAAACATAGGGCAAATGGTCACTAAAGAACCAGAACTTTATAATTAACCCGTACCACATGCGCTGAACATTTAAATGAAATACAGGCACTGACAATAAAATATACCATACAAAGGCATTAATGCATATAGCAATGACCATCTACGGTTTCAATTTTACCATAGGATGACCGCACATCCCACACAGATTTAGCCACTGGCTAAAAAACTAGTCATGTAACGGTCTGATCTGGCCACAGTAGATTTCTCATGCAAATAAGTTCATTGATGTTGTCATATTTCACATCACATACAAAAAATGATTGAAAGCCCAACTTGTTGTTGACTACAAATGATACAGAGTAAAACAGCATAGCATACTGTCTAAATTTACTACTACTGTAGACTGTCGATAAACCGTACATAGGTATTCTAAACAACGTTTGAGGAAATCATCAGTGAAACGTTGTATACACTTTAGTGTTATAAAACATCAAGCAAAAATTAGGGAATCCAAATCTGATTTTCACTAACTGATTCGCGGTTGTGATATGTAGTCTCGAATAACAGCCTGTGAATGGACGAAGTTCGCTGTTTTTCTGTCCATAATGAGTCCTAGCGCAAAACCGAAACTAGTTTACAGATAGCGGTTCTCAATGAAACCTTGAAACAACCTTGAAACTTAGAAGAATAAAACAGATTTTACTTCAGTTTTGTTTTATTTGTTGAGTCAAGTAGAGTAATTTTCGTATCTTCAGCATTAAAAGACGCAAAACTGTTGCCTAAGCGTCCTAAATCCTAATATCTCTACGTTTCCTTCTTCGTGTGACTAAATAGTACAGGTCAGCCTCCGACAAATGCAGCTTTGTGAAAGCCGAGGTCAGTGATATATCAGTTTGGTTTGATGAGAAAAAAGAGCTGATGTAATCTCAAGGCAGCTCTAATCAGACCGATTTCTTCCCTAGGCAATTATTCCATTTTCTCCAATGATGACTACAGGGTGAGTTACTGATTGACTGTATTGGCTATCCTGGGGAATGTTAGGTAGACAACAACTGGATAGCAAAGAAAACCAAGAGCGACTTGTGGGACCTCAGCATTTCAGCTTGGGAAAAAAGAGAGACAGAAAGATAGGTCTTGTAACGGTATTTCCAGATCAGAGTTATCTCCGTGATACATGACTACCAACTCATAGTCGCGATCAGTGAAACTTTTCAAGGGAGAGCTTGTTTGACAAAACGTTAGACTTCCCTGTCAGGTCCAACAAGACAACACTCGCTAGAAAACATTCCAGTACAGTACCTATTTACTTTACAGTAATGGTGTATCCTTAGGGCTGAAAGAATTTCAAGACATGCTGTTTTTTATTTTTGCAGCAAAGCATGAAGTTTTTAGAGGCAAGGGTTTGGCTTGCACGGATAGTACGAAGTATACAACTTCTAATGTATTCGTTCCGCTTAGACCAAAGGCAAAGCAAGACGCCAGAAGAGACCATCCAAATTACGAATTATATTTTGGGGCCGAATGGGAAGAGTTTTCTGGAAACGACCCTGACTCACTTTTCGACTAGAGCGCTACGTTTGCTTGGTTACATGAAATTCTTATTTCTCTAGTGTTTCTTGCCAGAAAGTTCTGGAATTTAGTGTAATTATTTCACTTTCGAACACTGAATCTGTGGAAATAATCGTGATGACCGATAACCCCTATAGCTAACCGTTTGCTTTAATGTGACTGTTTACCACTAACTTATGTCTATAATTGTATATACTGTTGAATTTACATGCGCAAGTTGACCCAATTCAGTGAGTCTGCGGTTTTCATATCACTTTTGTTAACCGTATTTGACAGTGATACTACCGTTAGGGTTTTTGCTGTTGTCGCTGGCCTTCCTGTTGTGAATTTTTTTATTTTTCTGGTGTCGTTCGGACTGCTTTACTCCTTGTTTTCCTGATTCTTCGGGGAGAAACCCATAAAGTAGCCCCTCCGCAAACCACATATACACGCAATGACACCCCACCCTATATATAATAATAATTTATATTTTCATAAAAACAAAAATTTACACGAAAACGCGTGCCATTTTTACAGGCACGATCAAGTATTATATAATGTCTAATCGTAGATTGTCTACAAGTTAATTATGTTTCAACAATTAAATATTTGATGTGCGTCCTTTGTTTGATTACTGTTCATTCATGTATAGTAATATACACATAGAGGACAAATTGAAAGTCGAGGGAGTGCAGAGGTACTTCACGTCAAAATTACTCGGAACCGAAAATGGTGCGAACTACTACACTAGATGTGATACACTAGGATTAGAAACACTATGGCTAAGACGCCCGAGACAAAACTTAACACTTTACTATAAGCTTCTAAACCACTTAGTTTTTACCTCTACTAATGGCACTCGACGTTCAGATGACAATGGCTACAAACTAAGACAAACTAAGGGTACAGTAGCTATCGAACAATGTAAAACAGCTACCAGGCAAAAGTTTACGTCAATGTAGTTGAAGATTGAACGATCAATTCATGGTTGTTTGCTCAAAACCAACTTCCCCAATTTTCGCGGAGGCATCAATACGACAGTCATCGTCTCATCGGTCGCTGTTCAGAAAGAAGTCAGCAGAAAACCGTCAGAAACCTTAGTCATGCGTCATTTATCTTTTGGTGTAACAATGAAGAATCCTCGAGTCAACAATTGGTGTTTTGGATTTTTCGTCCGTTATTACTAAGCGTTTCTGAGAAACTTCAAGGAACAGCGTGAGCCCGAGCGTAGCAAGAGATGGGCATTAACAGTTTACGAGACGTGACTGACAGTTTCTGACGATAGAAACAGATTCTGGGGGATTCAAACAGTTGGTGAAAGTTTGGATAGTCGCCGTCCATTTTTCCTGGTGCCAGTCAAGTCCTCTTTGAACAAGGAATATCTGGAACGCTTTTGGAATTGGGTCAAGTTCAACAATGCCTGGGTCAAAGAAGGGACAGAGTGTCTTGGATGCAAACAGGAAAGTAAGTCATGGTGACTTGTCTGTTAATTGTAACGATGTGTCTGATGTTAAGCATGACATGGTTGATGTTACTGTTTCGCCGTTCAGGGATAATAGGAACATCAAACTCCCTAAATTTGAACCCCGGTGTTTCGATGGAAACCCAGCTGATTATTTACAATTTGTAAAGGAGTTTGAGATCATGGTAAGTAGTTTTCTATTAAGTGATGAATTGAAATTGATGTATTTGATGAGGTATTGCACTGGGAATGCTTCAAGAGCTATACAGTGCTGTAAGCTCATGCCCCCTGAGGAGGTATACGCTGAGGCTATGAGCATATTACGTCAAAGGTTTGGAAGACCTTCAATGATTGTAAGGAACGTATACGAAGCTGTCAAAGGTAACGGCAGTCAACTTCAAGATGACTCCAAGGCACTTACTGAGTTTCTGGATAATCTTATGACTTATAAGAATACCTTGATTTCGATGACTTGCATGAGTGACCTCAACTCGAGTTTTATTTTAGTAGTAATAGCAAGACGCCTACCTACTCGACTGCAAGGGAAGTGGGTGAAGATAAGCTCCCGTATGGAGGATGACGGTATCGAGCCAAAATTTGGTGAAATCCTGAAGCTGGTAAAAGATAGTGTCAATCAATCTATGAGCAAGTTCGCCAGTCTATTACATCTCACCCCTAGAATAGAGCAGTCTGAGAGCAAAATGCAATCATTGATGACGAATAGGCCTCAGAGAAGTGGATATCAAGAAGGCTCCATGATGTATAGTAATGCATATAGACCTAGTGAGTGTAACAGGTTTCATAGTACATCCTCAACAGATAAGTTACAAGATAATAATAATAATAGTATATTCTCATTTTGTACATGAGAGACGCCAGTTTACAGGCATCATCAATATGATAAATTACATATACGATTAGCAATCATAATTAATAATAATGTTTTAATAAAATACACATTTTTTCCTACTTGTGTAGGACACACCAAATATACAGGCATGGATAAGCATTATATAAATTTCATAAATTTGGTTTATGGTTAAGTTACATGGTTGCTGGCGTTTTTGTCTTAGGTCTGTGGGAACAATATGATAACCAGTCATTCAATGGAGCACGTCATGAAATATAGGAATATTAACTTCGCATTAACAAAAAAACCCAAGTAAGTTTTGGATGGATTAAAAATACTTGGGAAAAAATAAAGCTTGAAGTTATTCCACAATATAACAAGTCATTCAATGGAGCACATCATGAAATATAGGAATATTGTCTTCGCATTAACAAAAAAACCCAAGTAAGTTTTGGATGGATTAAAAATACTTGGGAAAAAATAAAGCTTGAAGTAATTCCTCAATATAACTTGGGTGTGTACAAATCCGAATCTTATTTTTGATTTGATTTATATCCAAATTGGGTAATAAGGAAGCTATTTTTACAGATACGATCAGTTATGTTATAAGCTACAATCGTGACGTTGTATTACAAATAGATACTTTTCCATTGGTATAAGAGTATATTCCACAAATGTAATCCAGGTTGCGTCGTGGAGAAAGTTAATTCGTTATTAACCAGGCAACTGAAAGATACGGGACCAATAATGTTTGCAGATCATTTGTCATTGTAAATGGTCAAATATCCACATTATTCATTCTCATTCAAAAAGTCAAATGGAAGCTGAAATGGTGAGAGAAAAAAGAAGACAAACAACAGCAACGCAAAAGAAAGCAACGGGAGTCCTTAAGGAGTGATTAATAAATATATACATATATATTCTGTTTAGTAACTGTGGTTATTTTGGTACACAAACTAACTAGTCCCGTTATGCTAACTTTTATATTATGTGTAAACTAATATTACTGTCCTGTGTAGAAATGTTAATCATCTAGTTCCAATAATATTAAAATTTATAATTGTAGTTTGTTGTAACTACACGTTTAAAGAACTTAAAATATCTATGTAGGGTGAAAAAGAAGGTGTAAGAGTCAGGCGCAAAAGTGCATTGTCATCTTTGAGTAGTCTGGTGACTGAGGAGATGAACACTGGAAGTGTGTTTGCATCGCGCACATTAGCTGGTAGTCTATTCCAAATGACTGAAAACTTATTTAAGAAGAAGTTGTACCGCACGTAAGTCTGACAGTGCTCCATAGCAGCTAGGTTGTGATGATTTCTAAGATTGTAACTGATGACAGCGGTAGGTTTAGTTATTGGCTCGGAGGAATGCAAGAGAAGATTAGTTAGCTTATAGTAAAAGATAAGGTTTAGCTTAAGGCGTCTTTTCCAGAGGGGTTCTAATCTTAGTCTTTCGCATCGCTCATGGTATTCCAGACCACTTTCTAAACCAAGAGTTCTTGAGGTAAACTGCCGTTGCACTCCCTCTAATTTAAGCTTGTCATTTTGTCTTAGTCCGCTAAGAATAAACGGGCAGTATTCTAAGATAGGTCGGACACATACTTTGTATAATAAAACCCTAGTTTCACAACAAAAGAAATTGCGTGTTATGCATCCTATCAGCCTTCGCGTTTTACGTCTGGCATAATCAGTCTGTTCAGCGAACGTTAGGTTACTAGAGTATCTAATACCGAGATCTACGACTG